ACGCGAACACTTTCGTTCTCGACGAAGCCTCCGGGCGCAGTGCCGCGTTCCGAGAAAGACTCTCTTTCCGGCGCTGTTTGGAAACGGCGCGGAGACCGCTTCAACGTCGGCGTTCGGAATGGGCCGAATACGCCCGCGTCTTTAAGAGGCACTTAAATCCTCCTTCACGTTTCTACCTCCAACGGCGTCCGTCACGGCGGGCGCTCGGAATGTCTCCCCCTCCCTGCGGTATTTACCGGACTATCTACAGCGAAATATATTGTTACAGCAAACAAAGACAAAATGCTAGATTGGTTCTATCTGAAACGACTCCTTTAATGAGGTTCTTCCCCTCTCTATTGCTTCATTCACTGTCCGACATTCTAAAGGTTTTACGTTCGATTTCAATGTAAGTGTTGGAGATCAATTTTACCAGCAAGGACACGATTAGTTATTCATGAGGTGGCGTGAGATGCTCATAGAGAGATACATAATGGCCTCTCTCTTATTTGGAACCGACATGAAGCAATCCTAATTATTTAAAGAGAAATAAAAATAAAATGAAAAATACATGAATGTGTTCTTTTATAATAATCAATGAATAAATATTGCTCTTGCCAGTGTTGCTAAATGAGAAATGCATACACAACAGTACAATAGGCATGTGATGTAATTTTTACAGTTAATTTAACGTTTGTTAAGTTCACCTTTCTTCGCAAAAAAGAAAACAATACGTAAATGCCATAACTGACTAGACAAATTCGTAGAGGACCAGAAAGAATAAGATATTTCAAAATGTAGTTAAGCTTCCAGTTCGGTATTCATTGCTATATGAACGTATACACCTGACAGAAGATCTGTTCTAGAAAGTGAATGCAACAGAGAACAGATCCCGCGAAGGAACCTTCCCATGAGTCCATATTCTCCCGAGATTGAATGCATCGGTAATAGCCGAGGAGGTTGCAACAGACGAGTTAAAATGGGCATCGCGCAAACGTGCAGTGCTGCGGTGGGTCACGAGTGTGCGAGGGCATGGACAGTGGAATCGGAGGTGGCTTAGGTAGCGGGGGCGGCAGACGTCAAGGGAAAGGACGACGAAGCTCCCCGCTTTCTGTCCAGTCACGGGGGGCTTTGCACACCGCCAGTAGGGTTACGCTGTTGCAGCAGATCGTCCGGCCGACTTTAAGGATAAACTTTAGCATTTTGCAACGCCTCTTTTGCGGCGGTTTGCCTTCCTCATATTCATGCGGTCATTGTGGCAGCCCGGAGCTTCTCCTTTTAAACATTCATTCTATGGTCTTTTTTTTCTGAGCATCTTTATGGATTTCCCCCAACAGTTACCAGCAAGCAGTCATCCCTTTTAATAGTGAAATTCTGATAAATTAATTTCCATCGTATATAAACCTCCGAGAGTTTCTAATTGATTTCTTCTCTAGTAACTCACCATTTTCGGAGGGCGCTAACGCTTAAAGAGAACTTACTTTCTCTGCGAGATGTCTTAAATCAACCTCTCCCCAACGCACGCTATCACGCCCCTCTACTGCCATAATTTCAAGCCGACGTTTCGACCTCTATGGGAAACTCATTTTGGTTGTGAAACGTGCGCCGAATTTCGAATCATTTTTCTTTCGTAGGCGATTGTTACAGTACTTTTCCGGCTTCGATCTCGTAGTTTTTGTGTCGATGATAACCAACTCCGTGTGTTCGTTTCGGGTTTGCGGCTGAACGGGTCTTCTAATTTCTCTGTCATTAAAGTTTCGAGCAACGCTCCCTCTGCTGGAAGAGGTAGGTGAAGGTGGAGAGAGGATGGAGGGGGAGGGGGGATGGATGGGCACGCCCGCCTCGTCCTCAACCCGCTTCTTCACAAGGCCTACCATTGTGGGCTTCGGAAGCCCGGTAGCGCGGGAGCGCACGCCTCATTACAGCCCGACCGCAAAAAGTAGACACAAAGGTGGGGGCCCTCCTACAGCAGTTCCAGGCGGTCGTTGCCAACAAAACCTTTTCACATTCCCCTAACATTATATCGCATCACAAGTATACTTTTTTCCTACGTGTGTCGTAATATGTCGTCATGGTAGCTATTTTGGGTACATGCCCTACTTAATTGTTAGATTTGCGGTTAGACAACGTAGCTTTAAACCGAAAAATATATTGAAAACATTTCAATAATTGAAAATAAGTCCAAATATAGACCAATATTCGAACATTTTTGAGAGTAATAAGATATCAATTCTACCGAACAGTACGAAATAGTTAGGTATCTAGTACATAAAGTAACTTTTGTACGTACCAAAAAAATGTCGGGCGAGGCAACGATATGAGTCGATTACCACAATTTGACATGAGTACACCAAAGACACTTTTGTGCGAGCTTGTACATTATTTTTCAGCATGAATTCAGACATTTACAAGGATGTACTCTAGGGGCTTTCTTAAGCGAGGCAGATACCATGTTGGTTCATGACGTTCCAGTGTTTAATTTTCCTGTTGTATTAAATGGATCTGACTTTTTTTTCAATACGCGTGCAGCAAAATCAAATTGCTCATTTTCGCACTGTAAAGTAATTCTCTCCAGTCAACAAACAGTGATATCAAGAAGGAGTTTCAATGTAGAAGTGCAGAAAAAAATCTTGACGTTAAAACTGTAGTACGATATTTAGAATGTCCAGCGATAAAACGTGCAGGTTGGTGCGCCGGTAGCACCGCCCACCTGCCGGCCCGAAGACTCCTCGCCCACAATGGCCCCCGGAGCTCGGTAATGAGCCGGCGCCTTGATGAGCACCCGGTGATTTGTGAAGATGACGTGCTCGGCGGCGCGGCTGTGCGGCGTCACCCGTGCGGCATCCACTGCCACCTCCACTGCCTTCCACTGTATGCCGTCACCCCAGCACTGCTCGCGCCTCTCCCTAGGCCAACACCTCCGTTCTCAACGCCTCCCAATTCTACCCGTTTCCTCTTCCTAATCTGGTCCACCTCCCTCCGCTATAGTATTTTGTCGACCTATCATAAACTACCCGACATCTTCAAATATTCTCTGCCTTCCACATCATCCTCTGTATCGCCTGCGTCCTCACTCGGTCTCTTCAGTTCTCGCGATGTGCAGCCTTAGGTTCACCCCTCCGACCTCACCGGCTCCCACCATTCTTCTGTCTTTGTCCGTCCTCTTGCCAGCCTAGTCCTCCTCCCTCTTCTGTTTTCTTTTGTCACCATCACAAACTACCCGACTCTTCATGTCATTTCTGCCTTTCACTTCTTCCATCAATTTATCTGCCTCCTCGCTCGTCCTCCCAATCCTCCCCTTTTATTTTCCAATACCATGCCTTCCAACACTTTGACATTTTCTTCTAACCTGTACCGCATCTCCTCCATTCCCTGCTAAATTTTTCTATCTCTTCTCACCTTTATCGTCAGCGGTTCTCCCCTGTCTATTTAACTTTACTGTCCGCCACTGCCTAACGCCATAAATCCATCAACACCATTACCACCTTCATAACACTTCATCACCTATTCCCCTCTAAAAACTCATGTGCTGTCATTGCCACCTTTACCTCAAACCTCACAACCTTTACCACTTCTACCTTCTCTCATTTCTTCCTGTCCTACTCCTCCATCTCCTCCTTTTTCACGCACAGACGCTTTCTCGGCTTTTTGCCCGAGGCGTCCGTAAGATTTCCGTCTTCGTGAACCGGACATGACGCCGAGCCTCGCTCGTCCAGACGGATGGGACGACGGACAGCAGGACGGGCGGGCCGGCGTATGGGGAACGGCCGCTGCGATCGTTGCTGCATTGAAGGTCGAGGACGCTGAGAGCCAAGAGGGGGCGGGGCGGGGGCCGGGGCCGCTGAGGCGAGGAAAATGATGGCCGTGCAATGCCTTTCTCAAGATGGAAGGTCGGGTTTAGACCCCTATTAGCCCGGTTTCCACGAGGGAAATCTTGAGCGGTGGCTTGGGTAAATACTGGAGAATAGTTGAAGATGTTCCTTTGTCGAGTTGGAGGATTTATATAACAGTCGGTGTAATTAGCGACCGCTGGAAGTAGCGTTCTCCGCAGGAGAGTCCCTGATGTACATGTTTACTAATTAGTAATGGACGAGTAGAAAAACTCTCAGCCTAAACCAGCTTTTGGAAAAAAAATCATCTCTACTGGGGTGAGAGGAAGAAATATGAACAGAACGAATGAAATAGAGCTACTAGTTACGAGAAAATTTATTAATCATATTGTCTCAATATTACTCAGAAATACAAGAAATGCACTCATATTTCCATTTTTTGTGTAAAAGAGGTTACGAGCACAATATTACAATGGAATTAATATTTTCTTAAAATACTAAATGTATCATTATTCATAATGTGTGCAGAAAACTGCCTCAGAACATGGTGTGGTTACTCTGTACAGCACAGAACAAGAAGATACAAGAACTGAATTATAACACTGAAGATCAACGAAATATTTTCTACAAAAATTAACTAAAATGTGTTTTATTTAATTAAATTCATACATTTTGAGCCAAAAATAGTATGAATTGCCACAAGATCTCAGCACAGGCTACTAATTCATAACAACATTGTTTAAATGAAATATGAACGAGATGTCGGTTCATAATTGTTCGGACTTTTCTGTGGACATTGCACACCGTACTGAGAGCTGTGTGCTACCTTGCTTCATTTACACAATTCTAAAGATTGCCTCAAATCAACCGAGGTAAATGTTTTACTACAACCAGAGTAATTTGTTTTCTTCAATTCTTTAAATAAAATATATACGTTCAACATCGTATATGTCATATATTTTTGAGAAAGCAGATGTAAATATTGTACACAGTTCTTATTATAAGAAGGATATTTCCTAATTTATTCCTCAGGGACGTAAAAAATACATCCATTATATTACATAAATAAAAGCTAACACTCGACTGTAAAATAATAATCCTATCTGGTTAGATAACATTTTTAAAAAATACAAAAATACAAAAAATATAAAACAGGGTAATGAAACTCAACTTGTTCTTTTTTGGTTGCAGTGTTGCATGATGGTGGCGGTGGCGGCGGCCGTGGCGATGGCCGCGCCCCAGGGTAACCAGTACCTGCCGCCCACGAAAGGCTACGACTACCCGAAGCCCAGCAACCCGTTCATTACGCCGACAACCACTCAACGACCCACCACTCACCACGACGGAGGAGTCTTGCTGCCTGAATCCCGCCCAGGCGCGGTACGTATGATCCGGAGCAGATATTCCCAGTCTTCTTCTTTCATTGATACCTTCTTTAAAATAAATAGTTTGCTTCATTGAGCTCCATCGTAATTTTCTGTACCCAACATATTCATAACACAAATAATGGCACATTAATTACTTTAAAATAATTACAAAAGAATATGAAAAAGAGTTTTGAAAGAAATAGTGTTCCTTTAAAATTTTTGTGCTTTTATCGTTTTTAATTTTACAAATATCAACAGTTTAGAAGACACACAACTGCCAATTTGAATTTCCCAAGAACTCAATTTAAATTCATAGTAACTATGTTCAATTCCAAAAGATGAGAAAATTTGTAATTTGTGATTAGATTAACACATTAAATAATAATAAATATTAAAAGACAATAATAATCAAATTTATTATTTGTTTTGGTAATTAATAGGATCTTTATTGATTATTCAGTCACCGGTGCCTACTGCATACCATCCTCAATGGACCCTTTGACTGTCATTGACGTCTTTAAAATATACCGACCCCGTTGGAACCCCCTGGACTAAAACAGCATGAGCAAACTCATGCATTTATCAACGGGTACCCGCGAAACTCTACAGATTCTCTCGGGTTTTTTATTGAGAGAAACGCTAGATTTATCTCAACATTTTCAAAGCAACGTTTCAAGGGACTATTGACACACTCGTCAATTGGTATTAAAAATAACCCACACTCTCTTTTTGTCGAAAAGTAACTTTAACTCTAATTGCATATTGCAATAGAAACCGTTCTCTTTACTGTTTGTCTCATCTAAAGTTTTAAAAAATACCCCTCACCTATTAATAATACAGTAAAACATTTTTCTCACTTTCGTTCATGTAGTCAGTTACATAGCATCCATTCTGCAAGAATTATATTTTTCGATTTAGTCGAAAAAAAGTGAACTTTTCTCGCTAGCGATTGCTTCAACGTGCTGCCGATCATAGCACCCTCCGTTACACGCAACAGGCATGTCTTCAGAGGAAACGTCAAGTTCTAATACAAACAGGAATTCTTTGGACGAAATATTTGTCTTACTTTCTACAGACCAAAAAAATTTAAAACTTTGACCCCTTGACTAGACACTTTAGGGCAATCTTACATAAATGCATAATTTCGCTTTCCAAAATTAATTAAATTCGTTATTACTACGAGATAATGGATAATTTATGCCTGTCAATAATTATAGAGCGAAGTTCAGAAAAAGCTGATATACTGCACTATTTAAAGAGCAAGGGTTACAAAAATTGAAATTTAGATAACATGTTATTTAGAAATGTCGTTCCACCATAATTTACAGCTTTGCATTTCTTGGAAGTTATTTTCTTTGTAAGTTATCTGCATGCGATATGACCTGCTCTTATTGGAAAGTGCATTGTAGTCCCAACACAACGTACAACTGAGCTTCCCCGTTGAAACACGCAATAGTTTTGCGCAGTGGCGCAATCAGGATCTTTTTATGGGGAATCTATAGCTGTAGAGCCCAGCTACACATGTGTAATGTTTTCGTACACAGAATTTTTAATTAATGTGGAATTTAAAATTTAATTCTATATGATTATTTATTAATTATAACGATTTTGGTGTTGAAATGTTCAATGAATTTATAGAAAATTAGTTAAAAATGTATTTGACATCGACTTCTGACATTGAAGGCTGTCATCAATTTTTGGGATGGGGTATTTATTTCTTATTCAAAACTGTGACTAAAAATAGTAGATGCGGTATGAAATGGACACAGTAAAGAAGCATGGAGCAATGCAACTAAATGGATAAACGTTAGATGTATAAACGGAACACAAGTCAATGAAAATTACATAGTAATTCTCTGAATCAAATTCCTTCTCTCTAGTGTAAACTAGTGACCTGGTGTTGTGGCAACATCAAAAAGTCTTGGGTATTGTCTCATCATTCCTAGACTCGGTTCTACTGCACTCTTTTACATTTAAGAATTCATGTGTGTACACCACAATGACAATCGTAGGCGCCCTCAGTTTCCTTCTTAATTTAAAAAGCTACCTAAATCACTCAATGCCTAGTCGTACTTCAAAATTGACATTATTCAATGATCATTCGTCGCAAGACATTGCTAACCCTAAGAAACCTTGAATATATTTAGAATATTCTAGGGGACGCTCGTCTCTCAGTTACTCATGACGGCGTAGGGCTGTTGAGTCCCCCTGTTCTCCCTTCAGCCTTCCGTGCAGGCTGCGCCACCCTCCAGACACACGACCACCCCTAAAGCGGCCCAAACACCAGCAAGCGCAGCTCGCAAGCTTAGCTAGCGACGGGCCCACATCTCTCGGTGCCGATAACCACTGCATTACGAGAAGAAGTTTGCTGGTAGTATGAGGAAAAGATTTTCACGATCATGAGTGACACAAGCCAGGTTCATGAATTGTGCTTGCTCGTGTATAGCCCCTTCACGCCTTGTATTTTTTGCTCATCGTCCAATAGCAAACACTTGCTACCCTCGCCATCTGCTACATCTTCCATTGACCGTGTACATGATGAAACACCCATACCGTCTCCTTCGTGATCTTTGTCACGACTAGGTCATTTCCCCAAGTAGCTTTCCCACTGTGGCTTCCACTTTTCATCCCTTCCCATGATAAAACAGGAGCTCAACGGTCCCTAACGCTTTGGGCAACCGGGGT